CACATCCACCTTTTCGTACCATGTTGCAGAACAAGGCATTCTTGGTTGAGTGGTTAGCACACAACACGAAGCACGGACCCGACATCGTTGCCTTTGCAGGAGTCGGTATAGCAGAATCCATGTTTGCTTATTGGGGAGCCTGGGCATGATCCGCATGTCCACGAATTCTGATGCATGAGTTTTTCAGTTTTGCATATTTTCAATTCCTCAATTCCGTAACGCGCGTGTTTGCACTTGACCCATTTTGAATCTCAAGACATATGTGTCTGCCTCCGCAGCCACTTTTCGGTTTACAACCAATCCGACCTTTGCAATCTTGTATGCTCGATCATCTCGTTGACATGCCCATTCTCAACCTGATGTTTGGACGATCCGGCTGTGCCAAAGCCGATGATCAAGAGACGGGCGTCACCATTGAAGGAATCCCCTGCTCGTGATGAGGAAGATGAGACATCCGATTGCCCCATGGAGCAAGTCGCTGATGAGAATCCATCCGCCTCTCAACAACCCGAGAATGTCAACATGGAGCAGGTTGATTATGATCCAGATTCCGACGACGATGATTCAGATGAGGAAGGGCATCCTCTCGAAGGAAGGCCTCTGTCAAAGGCGATGCCACATCCGAAACTTGTTCCAAAGTCACCGCCACCGGACATTGAGGCTTGTCTCCAAGGTCAAGCCAGCACCCAAGAACACTCTGGACGACGAGACGGAATCCGACAATCATCCTGGTGATCGACCTGCACTTCCAAGGCGACCAGTGATGCGGCCTGTTCTCACATCCAACGATCGGTGGTTTGTAACATATGGATCGGATACGAACATCAGCCTCCAGAAGGAATCCGTGCACCCAGGACCATTCGTGAAACCTGACTTTTGTGCACGGGTACGACAAGGAATGCTCAACCATCCTCGATGTCAATCCGGACTTCCACTTCGTTCCTGAGCACGAGAGACCGCATGGAGTTAAGGTATTCTGGTTGAATGCAAGATTCAACGATTACTGGCATCCGACACTCCAAGGTGAAGGACCTCCTGCAGAGAAGCAATACATGGACTTCATCAAGAAGGTTTACAGCATCTGCTGCTACCGCAATGCTCAATCCGAAGTTTACGGAACCGACATCATCCCGATGGTATGCCACAATGGCAACATTGATCTCGATAAGACCGTCCAGAATGTCGAACAGGTTTGCAAATACTTCCGCATGGAAACATCCAAGGCGAAACAGATCACAGATCTCATCCTCTGGCGAATTGAGAGAATGAGCAGATCGTTTTCCGGATGTCTTCGACATGATCCATGGAATCCAAAAGGAATGCAAACGGCAGGTGGAAATGGGTCCTGATGGATCCGTCGAACTCTATGACGCATTGACCTGCATCACACATGAGCGCAAGGCACGGGGAAAAATTGTTCCAAGGAATCGATGGATCGACAAGCTCAACACCAGATCCGCACAAAGTACACTCAGGCCCGATAATCGGGCAAGGACTTCTATGTTGATCCAGAGATGGTTTTCTATGTGAGATGCAACAGCGGACACACACGACAAGTCGATATCCAATCCTTTGGACGACCCCTGTTCTCTGAGCAGAAGGAGCCTCATTACGACGAACCAGACTATGATTTGCCAACGGAATCCATTCCACCAAGACCGCATCCGTCAAGATCCGAGGCGCCTCATGGAGATGAAAGCACAGCTCAGCCCAAGTACAGAATGCGAAGGCCGGCACCACCATCCGTTGAAGAAGAGAGAAAGATCAAGCCGTTCTCGAAGAAGCCCATCACATTCATGTTCCATGCAACCTATGGAAGTCAGCTCTACAGCATCATGGAGCACGGGCTCAAACAAGGGCACGTTCACATGGCATGCATCGATGACGTCATCCTCGAAGACGATGATGAGTCAGAAACCGCATTGACCCATGTGCCAGCAGGAAGAGATGCGTTGCTGATCCTTGCATTTCTCAAGGACCAGGACTATGGCATCCGCCTTTCCGAAGAGAGAACAGCGTTGACAGACAAAACCATCGAGGCAAGAAACATTGTTGCAGCATTTGAACCTGATGGCAGCCTCCTGGCGAGCAACAAGTGGATCATGAAGAAGTATCTCGATCATGAAGATTACGAGATGTACGACACCAAGATCCGCGAATTCGCCGATGCCTTCTTCACGTATGTGAATTCCACCAAGCACAACAAGGAAAAAGGTACCTCCTCAGAGACCAAGAAGAGACGGCATTCCACCGATCAGGACTCCACTGAAGGAGAAATGATGGAACCCTCCGGGGAAAGATCCGTCAAGCCCAAGGTCATCGTGGAATATCACAATTCAGAGAACCTAGAAGAGTTCATCCAAGAACTCAAGGAAATCTATCTCGAAATAGATATGAACAAAAAGGACGCAGAGGAAGAGCTCGCGGGGATCAAAGAAGAACTCAAACGCTTCATGAGCCAGTTCAACAAAGATCCGAAAGGAGCTCATCCCAAGTTGACAGAGTGCGAGAGAGCCTCATTGGCACATGTCGATCCTGATGTCAATCTCGGTGAAGAAGAATTCTACTTCCCTCATCGAGGAGAATGTCCCACCATTGACGAGTACAAGCAAGCTCAACCAGGGTCCGGATATCCGATCAAGCTGCCGCTTGGATTGAAGAAGCTCAGGTCACAAGATGACCCGACAATCATCCGAGCCTATGCCGATATCCTGGGATCGCTGACGCAGCCGACTGACCGTCCTTCCGTGGACTATCTCAACATGCATGAGTTCACCTCATCCATAGCGATCAACATCCTTACCCTGAACCATGGAAACCTCACAAGGCATCCAAAGTTGGACAACAGGGAGGTGTACAACATGCCGATGAAGGATCGACCGGTCGTCAAGATGATGATGCAGAACAGTGCACACATCTTATGCCTGAATGAGGCAGACGCATTCTTCAGTCCGAATGATGAGAAATCCAGGGAGCTCATCAAGACGTTCATCCGATACGGTTACAAGGGCATTGTGATCAAGCAATGGTCATCCAGACCGATCGCATGCTTTGTCCGCGGCGGACCCTCTGCACGAGTGGAACTTCTGGCAAGACACATTTCTACCAGGAGCCAGAATTGGGGAACCGCATTCGGAATGTTCAGATGTTTCTTCGGAACCAAAGGAGATGACACTGATCCCGAATACGAAATTCCGACCTCGGATTGCTTGGCAACCACAGGAACATCCATGTTTACCGAATCCAAGAAGTACATTGGATCGAGATTGCCAGCACGCGCCATTGTCCAAGGACATGGCCGAGACAAGGAGATCGTCGTTCTCCACATCGAGCAGAGTGATGAGTTTCGTGGCATGATCCCAGAATCATCCGACAAGTCATACTACGAGTATGACGACCGCCACATAACGAGGGCAGACCTTCCATTCGCAACCATTGCATTCTTCCACATCCATCCTTCACTTAGCCATGGAGCAGCAAAGGAAGATCTTCAGAATGAAATCATGCCGCTCGTGACCTTGTACCGATGCGATGCGATCACCGGAGACGCCAACAAATCGGCGAACACTTACAGCAAACTCCAGCATGTCTACAATCCAACCAACGGTCTCGTGAACATCCTCATGAGAGCATATCAGAGACTGTGGAATGCGACGAAGAATTTGCCACTCGTGGACAGAATGGTATACAGTGGAGACTTCGTGCACCCTGAAATCCATTGTCCATCATCACCTGTACATGAAATGCGGATCATTTTGATCGAACATTCCCAGATGTGATGATGACTATATCGTATTTGGATGGGGCAAAACGAACATCCAGCAGGACTTCCGGAAGATCGAGATGAACAGTATGGATGATGAACAGCTGGAATTCATGCGGAACCATCCAAACAAGGCCATTTTCGATTACCAGGTCTCATCCGCAGAGCGCTACAAGCACGTGAACAATGAAATGTTCATGAACGGCTCGCAGGACTCCGACTCCCACGGTCCTCTCATGGTTTACATCCGCAGCAAATCTGCAACCAGCAAACGCAGCCCTGAGAGATACCAGGAGTACGTCAAGAAGAGACAATCATCCTGGACCACGCAGGAGTACAAGGACTACAACAAGCAGTGGGGATATCAGAAGCAGTGGAAGGACTATAGCAGTTCGACCTGGAATGATTATGGAGACCATGGCAGTCAATCCGACAGCAGCCGCCGATGGTATCGTCGATCCGACTGACCATGAAGATACGTTCAGCACCACGAGCAATCCAGATGATTGATCCTCCTCGTCTACAAGACTATACCATGAGTGAGTGATCAATAGTTTCACAATTGTTCCGCGTGTACATAGCGTTGTACATCACCCTTTGATACAATTAGGTATCCAAAAAGAAGCGTACATAGTGTTTCCCATTTCGAAGGCCAAGACATTTCATCCAGCAGAAAAAGGATGAATCCGGCACTTTTAATCACATGGCTACGGCACACATTAAGGCTACGGTCAAAGGCCATGAAGCCAATAGTATTTCATACTTTGTGCTGGAGATCAAAAGAAATTTGTGTCTGTTTTGTGTTCTGTTTTCCAGACCATTGATCTCCCGCAACATTTGGACTTTTGCAGAATCACGACCATCCGAGCGTGAGGACAAAAGAGCCATTGCAGGCCGCTTAAAGGATTATCCACAAGACAATCCACCAGGGACAATCCATCCTCCAATCATCCATTATTGGCATATTGGACTCTCTTCGGAATAATCCAGGCACCAACAACGACCTCAACTACCACAGGGTTCCAGTTCCCTCCGGGGATAGGCACCTGGGGCAGTGGGCCTCACCCCCCCCCCCGAAACCCCTACGTATTTGACGTCGGGCGGGGGGGGGGTTGGGGGGGTCGGTTATCCTCTATCCTCTAGTAAGTATCCGACACGCCGAACAACGTCGCCGGATACGACCTGGCAAGTATGTGAGCGACATGTCTGATCATTGCCAAATGTTGCGTGTTGCAAGGTCAGCACAAGGGTGCTTAGCCTGGAAGGTGTCGCAAGCGAGAGATGGGAAGGGTGCCGAACCCAAGGCAAACCAATGTCGGGCTTTGATCAGTTTGTGGCATTTCACCTCTCTCGCTTGAAATTAGGGCAGAGTTGAAGCAGACTGAGGTTTGCACCAGGAATTCTGTACTTCCGCAACTGGCACCGAAGCGCCAAGGATACGCTGCACACTTTCGGCTTTTGACCTGTCAATATCAAGGTATGGACTTCAGCCCTGGTCATGTGATGTTTGCGTGTTTGTTCTGAATGAGTGCAGCAGTGCAGCCAGCAGCCAGCTTTGTTTTCAGGGGGAGGACGTGCAGCTTTCAGCTGACCTTTCTGTAGCAGTAGGCAGGGCTCACTGACCATTGGCGCCATTGCCATCAGCCTGCAGCATGCTATATGTAGCTAGGCCGTGGCTTTCTGGCTGCAACTGGCGTGGCCTCCCTGGCTTGTTTTGCCATTTGGGTGTGGCTCAAAATTGCAGACCTAGGGTTACGCATGTTTTAGTGTTCATTTCCTTTTAGCAAGGTGCCACTGTTGTACTTTTTTGAGCCAGAGCCATTTCCCAGAAGTGTCAGTTGCAGATCGGACCAGAGTGCCAGGTCATTGGCAATGACGAGGGCTTGGCTGTAGGCGGGCATTCACATGCCCGGACGCGAGTTGCAAGTCAGCTATTTGTGTGTGCCTTTCAGTTTGCCTTTCAGGTGATGGGCCCTGCCGGCACTTTGGCACTCCAGGCTTGATGGAGTTTGCCTGTTGAACATGGTATTCAATTCTATCCTTGCACTGGGTGCTTTTGTGCATGTTGGAAAGATGGTGGAGTTGAGCTTCCCACGTGTTGCTGACACTACAACATACTACAACAAACATAACAGCCGAGGATAGTGGCTGCCAAATCGGTGTCGATATCTCATCCTTTTTTTTGGCTGCCGAGAGCTCTGATGCGACAGGCTGCTTTTCGTCCTATTATGAGCTCGAGGCTGGCAATAGGACATGCTTCATGCATAGCATGAACATAGAGCGCGCTGGAGGCACCAGGAAGGACTGAGCCCATGCAAATGGTCAGGTGGATGAGGTCACGGCCGCACCATCGGGGGCTGGTGGTCTCTATGTTGGTGTGTCCTTGCAGAGTGGCGAGGCGCTGATACGTCACAAGTCTGCCAGTTGCTTTGGCGAGTGAGCCGCGCAGGAAATTTCCACCCACCCTCGCAGAGAGTTCGATGGCTGGATGGTGGGCGGGAATCGTAAGGCAGGGTCAATTAGCACGCAACATGAAATGAGCAGCGAGTTTGGCAATGAGTCTGGTGCGTCATGTGGTGCTTCATGTGGATTCATTGAGGCAATGACAGTCCGCGCCAGCTGCCTGGCACTGAGACAGAGCCTGCTCCGAGAGAGGCTCATACACGCAAGGCGGTCATGAAGCCATGGATGCGGCAGCCATCTTAGTTTGCAAAGCTTGGATGCCATTCAAAATGGGTGTGGCTCAAAATTGAACCAGGGGAGCGCTGTTAGTCCATGTTTCCACTTACCAGGGTTGCATTTTGGGTACCTATGTTTGACCCACACCCAAATCATTGAACAAGAAGAAGTTGGCAAAACAAATCCGATGGAAGTTGAGAGGAGAAGCTTCCGGACACCTTCGCTCCTGGAGCTGATGAGCGAGATGTGCGTGAAGCGCGCAAGGAGGGGGGGAGGGTCCGGAGGGGGGCGCCAGTCTGGCAGACTGAAGCCCTGCACCCTGCGCCGCGAGAGTTTGATGTTCACGGGCGCGGTAGCTTCTCCCAAGTACCACTTGGCTCCACTTTGCACTTGACTTGAGATTCGAGAAGTTGAACTCCGCCCCGGCCCCAGTTTCGCCCCCTTCGAGGCTTTGAGACTTCTGCGAGCCGCACTGCCACCCTTGGCCAAGGGCAAAGCAGAGGAGGCCGTGCTTCCAAAGTGGCAGTGCTCCCGCGCTTGCGAGCTGCGCAGGTTGAGTTGAGAGACAGCTGGAGCAGCGAGGCGCCCCATGCCAAGTCGCACAGAGCGTTAGGATTGATCCGCAACGGCTGAACCTGCAGCATTGGCTCCAAGCAGAACAGGTCATCAGGAAGCAAACTGGCGGAATCCCAATGGCCTCACCACTGAGACTGGTCTAAAATTGAAAACGGAGACTGGATCTGACAGAACACAGTGCGAACAAGTTGCGAGGCTGCGTCGCAATCGGAGGCCGAGTCGCGGAATATGTGACTCGCCGAGTTGCGATGAGTCGCAATGTGCGAACTGTGCGAATGCGCCGATTGCGCCTGGCAGTGGCAGTGGGCCTTGCCCATTTCGCACAGAGTCTTGCATGGCATCTAGTTCAATACTTTTCAGCATTTAATTGTCTATTTCATGTCATTTTTGTCGGCACTCGAAAATCTATCCAACGGATACACGCTGAGGCCACAGTTCCAGGCCTTTTGCCTGGCAAAGCCAGAAGCTGAGTCTGCGCTGGTTATCAAATTTCATGACTCACTCAAATGCTATGCCGCGAGAGCTTGAGACATCGCAGGCCACGACGGGCACTGCTCCAGGTGGCAGCTTTAGCGCTAGTGCCACCGGCATCAGCCGAAGAGGTCGGGGAACGCTTCAACTTCCGGCATGCAGAAATGGCCAGGCCATGTACACAGAGACGGACAACCTGGGGGAGGTGTGGACAACCGCTAGCGTGCCTTGCCTCAAAGGAAAAAAGGAAAAACACCCACTCGGACTTGGCCGGCGCCCTCTGAGTGTGCCCTCATGCCCTTGCCCTTGCGGCGTTGAGAGGTGCTCAAAAGACGAGCCAAAGAGCTGGAAAAGTTGAGCCAACGAAAGCTGCGGGGTTCGCAAGTCTCCTCCTCAGCTCAGAGCCTCATCCGAGTTCCTGCAAGCTTTGCATGTTAGCAATGCGCTTGATCCTCAGGTTCCACTTCCGCGGGCGTTTGTCACCTATCTTACTCGAGAGACTCGGGCCGCATGATTTGTTCGATTCGAGATTGGCGCGCCACTGTCATGGTTATCAAGATTTCAGATCTGCACTTCGACGCCTGAGGTATTGATAAATTATGACCGTGTCATGGTTGCATATCAGGAGGAAGGGACCAGCATTCCGGAGGTCGACGCATTAGGTGTTGTCGCAAAGGTAGAGACTGCAGAAGCAGAAGTCCAAAACTGCTGTTGGCAGTTTTAGTCGGAGGCTGCACTCCTTGGTTGATGAGTCGATGAGGGTCACAGTGAGTGCTTGTAGACGCATTTATGGTACGGTTGTTGGCGGCACTGCCACAGCGGTTGAAGCCAAGGACGATCTGGCAAGTTGTGGGAGATGCCAGAGCCTCGCTGGGCACGCGAAGAATTCGGCAGCATCGCAAGGCAGTGAAGAGGGCCGAAGTATTCTTGCTGCCAAACCTTCTTCGCATCCTCGATTTCCTCTTTGCAAGGAAGCTGCCTCATTTTGGTGTTGGCCATGTTGCACGCAGTCACCTCGACCGCACTTGCGAGAGCCGAGGTCTGAAGCTTCTCGCGCCAAGTCCTTGCCAGAGGCGCGCCGGGCGCAGTTCGCCGCGCTGGCGGCTGCGGTGGATCTCGGAATCATCGGCTCCTACGGCAGCGATGCCGAAGGCCATGGCATGGCCCGTGTCCAGTGGGATTTAGTGGGATCCTCACTGGCGCCCAATGCCAGTGTGGCACAGTGGTGACTTGGATGGGATGTGGAGAGGGGACCTGAGCATCTGGAGAGGAATTCGAGCATGGCGGTCACCTGCCCCTTTCGTAGGTCTTCGCAGCCTGGCCAAAGCCCTGCGCGGTCTTTGCCGCAATGACTTGGCGGCCAAGAGACAGGCGCTAGCCTGCGTCACGTTCCATTATGCTCTCTTGTTTTTGTTGTTTCATTTGTTGTTTCATGTGTTGTTTCATCGTTCACTTTCTGCCAACTTTCAGGTCGCCTTCTCACTATCCTTGCTTCCTGGAGAGCTTCAGCGGCTCGATCGCACTGGCAAGGCCGTGTCCGAACTTGCGCAGAAATTCGCTGCGAGCTTGACCCAAGGCCTGTGGAAGTCATCGCAGCTTTGATCGATGATTTCACAAGAGCTTTAGACACTTTTGCTGAAAAATGTATGGCTGTCTTGAGCAACGCTTTCGCCTTGTGCAATTTGGCGCATCATGTTCATGCTCAGAGAATGCTTTGAACACACAGCCTTGCCAGCCTTCCGTTTTCCAAGGACTCCGCCGGAGACTTGGTGAGGGCTCATGGTTACAAGCCACGGCTTGACGTAGAGTCACAACCGTATCAAAATGCATCATGCTTCTGTCTTTTGAGTTTTGTTGGTTCAAGTTGGCCATGGGCCATGGGTCATAACCTATGGCTCCATTTTGGTGCGGATGAACACCCATGTACCACCTATTTTGATGTTCACCAGGGGTACAGGGTTTTGGCCCACAGCCAGTTGTATCATGCTGCTTCTGAGTTCTACCTGCTTGTGTGTGTGTGTTTTTGTTCTTTTTCTCGGTGGGTCTGAGGTGGACATCCCAAGCTCGGCGCTGGACGAGGCCGCCGCAGCCACGGACGCGGAGCTGCGGCGCCTGCCGTCCAAGTCCCTGGCGGATCGCCTCGCGCAGCTCATCCCCGTGCCTCGACTCGACGGCAGAGACGCCAATACAATGAAACAGTTTCATCATGTAGCAAGAACACAATTGAACTGAATTGGTGTAGTGGATACACATCAACTGAAAGTAGCTCAACTTTAGCAAATTGGAGAAGGCGTATACACACGCATTACTTCATGGCATACATATATGACTCATGACGCATATGGGATGCCATAACTGCCGGCTTGGGCAACTTGTGCGTGCGTTGAATCCAGTCGAATCGTTTCACAGACAGGAAGCTTTGAGACCTGCATATGAATTCCATTGCTTTCTACAGGATTACACGTGTGCCTGAGTCTTTTCTCATGTTCGTGCTGTGTCCCCACGAGGACGGGCTTTGCATGCCGGAGCTTGTGCAAAATGGCACGAGTAGCCGCTCAGATTTCAGTGGACTGCAGTTGTTCTGGAAACTGTTTTGGTGTTTGCAGCGGGTAGAGGAGAATGTGGGAGGCGGAGAAAGGATGGCCGGGTATGTCCGAAGTTGTTAATGACTTGATTTTGAGTACACAATATCAGAGCATTTCATGATGTGGGGATTGATGTCCGTCAACAGCATTTGAGGCGCTCCAATGTGTGTTACCTCTTGACTGCTTGATTGCTTGTCACGTGGGTGTTGGCCTTGCAAGTTTACTTGGCCTCGCAGAGTGGCAGCGAAGGTGAATTTAACACAGGAAGGCATTCAGTGCACGCCACGTAAGCCAGTCATTTCCCAGAGCTTGCAATTTGGCGCGGCCATCCCACATTTGGTGTCACATTGTTTGTGATCTCGAAACGATTTTCTGTAGCTTGGGAGCCTCAAGGCTACTACCGCCCCAGTGAGCGGGCCTTGCTGGCTGCGGCCGCCCTGAGTTCCTTGGAGGTGAACATCGATGGGGGCGAGGCGCAATTCTGCCGCTGGAGATCCTTGAAAGATACAAAAAAATCAAAATCCTCCAAACAAGCCAGGTATTATTCAGAAGATCAGAAGAAAGCCATGCAATGTAATGCTTATATTATAGAAGTTCTGGTTTTCTGGAGATATAATCCGTCGTCTTTCAGCCAGGTTGGTTAAGATGTACGGATCTGCTTATTCGATAGAGACACATCTTTCCCTGGAAGACTGAATACGATTGTTGTTGTTTGGCATCAGCCAGTTTCAATATTGGAAGAGCGATGTGTCCTCATTGAGTATTAAGACATGTTCGAGCACATGTTTCAATGTGCTGGCACTAATGGACACCTTGCACGGCGTGATTGTGCCACCAGCATCTGATATATGTTGTCGCGTCATGAGTGTGAGTGAATTCCAAAAAGACTGGTTGATGTCCTGAAGTTCCACGAATACACAAATTGTTTTGTTTTGGATTCCACGTCAGTCAATGTTTCTTGTTATATAGCTGTGTTTCCTTTCCACGAGGGCTTCGGCACTGGCAGCTTCGCCGGCGCTGAGCTGCCCGCCTTCGACCGCCCCGCGAGTGACACGGATGAAGAGTCATTGAAACTCAGCTCCGCAAACTCAACTCTGCAAACGTTTGCAAATGTCTGCATTTTTCAAATTCTAAATATTTAAAAAATATGAAATGTCTCAAATATCATAACATCTTTTGACGATTTTGACGATTTGAAGAGACATTTTGTTAGGCTTCGGGATCGAAGCTCCGCAGCCCCGAAGCTCCGAAGCTCTGAGGCCTCGACCCGTTGTTCGGTCCCTTGGGGCGCTCGCCGGTGGCGCGGCAGCGCGCATTGGACCTGTCGCAGTACCTGCGCCAGGCTCTCGGACGTGCCTCCAGAGAACCCTTGAGAGTCCCGGGAGGGCGGTGCAGGGTGCAGACGGTGCAGGGTGAGCTGGGACGGTGTCATGCAGCGTCATGCAGTGTCATGCAATTGAGTTTGCATTGGACGTGACAAGACTGACAAGACTGACATGAAATGAGAGAGTATGCTTGGCAGACCTTACTTATTCCCAAAGTCATTTCATTGGGGAAAGATTTCAGAGCCGACATGCCGAGTAGCAAGTTCAGGCCTTGCGGTGTCTGGTGCTGTGTGCAGCGCTGCAGTGCGCGCAGTGCTACAGCCACTGGAGGCAGAAACTATTGCTATCTAACTGCTCATCGGTTTTCTCCATTCCGTCGCCAGACTCTGCCAGTTCCACTTGTCCTTCTGAGAAGGATCTTTGTGGCACCATGCCTCGATTGCCTCGACTGCTGCCCAAAATCCAGAAGCAGTTGTTCTAGTTGTCTGGTTCCGTGCTGGGGAATGGCAGGTCGTCAAAACCGCTCAGCAGCTGCTTGGCCTCAGTGGTCCATGGCAAATACGGCAATACGTGACTTTGGGCATTTGTAGCACTGGTTAATACATGTCAATACATGTTAATACTAGTTACAAGTAGTTCCTGATTCAAGAGGAGGTATTCAATCCTGGTAGTTGACCGCTGAGTCTTACCATGGCATCACGAGCGTGAGCCTTTTGGTGCAAGGCTGAGCAAGGAACCTCCTGATGAGAGCCAAAGATGCTTGCCTCAACCAGTGAGCTTTGCTTGGCGGCTGACATGACGTGTCGAGGTGTACGACGATTTTTTCGCATGTCGTGTACCATGCCGCAATGCGACTTGGTCCTGCAAGGCGCGATTGATCAGTTTACAGCAACCGCCTCCAAGCTGATGAAGGAGGGAGGTCCTGTCCTGAGTCAAGGGTCACAAGCCATGGCCTAATATCAGACATGGACAATTTGTTGAGAGGCTGGCCGACTGCTAGGTATGGGCATCCTGTACAAAGGGACGGGAGCGACGATCTTGTCAACCAGCGTCATGGGCTTTTCCAGCTTCGGCCTCAACGAGTTCTTCAGGCTGTTGCAGACAGTCTTCTGAAGTTCTCGAAGTTCTCTTTGTTCAGCCTGACCTGGGGGTTGGGCTGTTGATATGTCAACCACGTCTGCACATTGAGCCCGTGCCAGAGAGAGAGAGAGAGAGAGAGAGTGGGAGAGACCCACGCAAGGTCCTAGTCTTTCACAGATAAATCCATCACGTTGCTAAATAGGATGTAAGGAAAACCGCACTTTGACCCATCCAGAAAATACGCCTGCCTAATATATGAAACGATATTGTAAAATTGAGTTTTGAGCATCATGTGTTGACGGGTTAGCCTTGGAGCAAGCGGCATCGAAATGGATCAGCTCAAAAAACGAGACCCAAGCTTCAGCTGCATGCACCTGCATGCTGCCTTTTTGAAACGCTTTCAACGGCACTTGCAGGCGTGCAGAATATGTGCAGAATCGGCAAATCGGCAAATCCGTAAATCCCAGCGGGTGTAAATCGCAGGCGCAGCCTGGAGAAATGGAGCGGAGATATGTCCGGGGAGGCGAGTGCCTTGGTGGTCCTGGCGGCTTCCATTGGGTCCGTCTTCGTCTCCGCCCCTTGGCGACGCGCGAGCCGTGGCCACCAGGATGTGATAAAATGACGCAGTTCAGGTCTGGATCAGCATGCTTCCCTGTAGATTGGGCATAGAGCCAGTGTAGTCCATCAAGTCGGGCTTTCCTGCTATGAGATGGGCTGAAGCCCATCAAAGGGCTCTTCCCCTTTTCAAGCTCCCTGAATTTGGATTCTGCACGACAGTCCGACAGCCCAAGCCTGGAGTCCTTTTGCAACGCACTTCGAACTGTCTACATGTTTGTTGACCCAGCGTGAGTGGGGAGCAACTTGGAGTTGCGCACCCGCAACGCAAAAGAAGTTCAGGTGTTGCATGTCGATTTGACGCCGCTCAGGCCATCCTTGCGTGTCCGTTTGAGACTCTGCGAGTGCGTGCTATGGCACCCACAGAAACACGGTCTTTGAAAGAAGTTGCCGCGGAAGCAGTGCCTTGGCTTTGAATCCATTCTTGAGCTGGCAGATCGGCATAGGGCGGAACCTTTGTGAGGATTTTAGAAGTGCCTTTGATGCCCCAGATAGCTGAAAGCTTTAGAGGTTCTACTTCTAAGACAGAAGGGAAAGTGATTTGCGAGATTGACGGCTAGGTGCTAGGGGGTGTGCAGTTTGGGGTGCTGGTGTAGGTGCTGTTTTGGGGCGCTGTTTGAGGTGCTGGTGACGGGGCGGGAGCATTGTTCTGAGATTGACAGCGGGGTGCTGGGTGACATGCAGGTGACGTTTTGCAAGATTGGCGATAGGGTGCTAGGGGGCATGCAGTTTGGGGGTGCCGGCGCAGGTGCTGTTTTGGGATGCTGTTTCAGTTTTGTGAGACTTCTGCGATTGATGGCAGAGTGCTAGGGGGCACGAGTTTGGGGTGCTTGTGCGGTGAACAGAAAAAATGGGGGGGTGGGGGGACGGGCGCGATCGCGCTTTTGCGAGATTGACGGCTGGCTAAGGGGGGCTTGGTGACGGTCAAGTCCCTGTTTCATTGAGGGGGCATGCAATTTGTTTGCGCAGGTGCTATTTTGGGACGCTGTTTGGGGTGTTGGTTGAGGCGCTCTTCGGGCAGTACTGCTAGTAGTGCTGGCGTGGAATCGTTGGCACGTGGTAACGCTATTTGGGGTCTACGCTGGTCTATTGTTGTTTTGACAGTTCTACCCCTTGAAATGTGCATGCAATGCGTGAAAGCAAAGTGGCTTTTTAGGCAAGCAGTGCAGCATCACTTTGGGCTGGCCTGGTGCCTTTCTGGGCACGTGAGATTCCATTCTCGGCATGCAGCTCGGCAGGCTTCGTAAACCTCATAGTGCACTTTGAATTGAATATTGGGATCCAGCCGAAGCTGCAGGCAAGTTCTTGGTGTTTGACCTCGCGTCCCGTGTGCAGCTTAGTGGTTGTGTTTGGAGAGCGCTTTGGATGTAACGACGTCGCACGTGTACAGGCGCTCTCTTCGCATTCTTTCCAGATAGCTCTGCATCGCTGGGCATCTCTGCCTTAGCGGGTGCTATTGCCGGGGTAGTCTCGGCCATCGTTTCAAATCCGGCGGATGCGCCTTGCCAGCGCTCAGTGTGAGCTTCAGCATAGCGACAGTGGCGCTCCACTCCATGCATTTTAGCAGAGAAAGCATTTGAACATCTGAAAGCAAGAAGCACGGAGCAGATGCGATTCAAGCTGGACGGTAAGGTTGTGATCACGCAGATCTCTTCTGGCAATGCAGGCATTGAGAGCACACGACATTTAGTTCGCTTGCGAAGCGTGCTGGCAGCTTGTCTCGCCAGCGTCCGCAAGGTGTGGCGTTGGGCAGCCTTGATCTCTGGGGTGGCCTTGGAGCTCGCTGTGTCTACTTTGCTGCAGTGACTTGAAGCGTTTGCTTTTTTTAAAAAAATGTGAGATGTCATATATCGAATAATATCGATTTTCCATATTTGTTTTATTTGTTTCGTTGAGGCGATTTGCGCGCAATTCTTGATCTACGACTCTGTGAAGGCCTGACCTTTGCTCGGTTACCCGGTTTACCCATTGGACTGAAGTCTGGGAGGAGCTGCTGGGCGTGAGCTCTGGAGATCTCCGCCTCGTCCTGGATGTCTTCGGTATCTCCACCAAGGCTGAAAGCCTGCTCGGCTGAGCTCGGCTGAGCTCGGAGTCGCTGAAAAGAGATGCGCCAGAAGAAAAATGATCGACAGCCAGCGCTCTCCGCCCGGAAGCCTGCATGAGCCTCAAAACCGGGGTAGTTTAATGCTTCCACCGCCACCTGATTGCCGAAACCCCAGATTCAACAGGATCCTTTTTCCGCAAAAATGTCTAAGCAATGCAATAACGCAGCTTCAAATTATAATGACCATTGCCAACACTTCTGCCAGTATTAATTCCATTCATAGTCTTACAGGTTGCTTTCCACAAAAACCAGCTATAGCAAATTACACGGTGTTCAATCAAGTCAAGGCTTGACCAGATCGTAAAGGGTCCCTCCTAGGGCCCCCTGCATAACGCAGTGATTTGACTCCAAAACAAACAAACAACACGGATTCAACGAATTTCCTTTTCCCATCCTATTGAAGGCAGTCCGGACCAATCAGGGGGTGGTCCAGGGACGTGACGACCATGAGCGACCATGGGGTTTTCAAGGGGCAAACATGAAGTCAAACAGTCACCATCCACGCATCGGGTGCGATTGGGTGCGGCCGCCCTTTTGATTCCTTGGATTGCCAATCGGAAGCGCGCAACGGCCATGTCAGGGCCTCCGGATGGGCGATCGCGTCGGCGTGCTGTTTAGGCCGGTGACTCCAGTCGCATGTCGCACGGGCATTTGGGCTGCCTTTTGTTTCTCCGGAATCTAGGTTTTGTTTTACAACAAGGGAGCTGTGTCATACTCGCGTAGGAAATTTAGGAGGGGTCGTACGCTCGCTTAGGCATTTTGAATACATCACTGTTTTTTGGCCCGCATAGGCAAGCCTGGGATGATGCACCATGGAGGTATGCTTGTTTTCGAAGCTTTCATGTTGCATTGGTTGAGGCCACACGGGGGAAAGTGGCACATGGTAGCTATGAGATGTGTATCGCTGCGTGCAAGCCGGCTCCTATCGCTCACAAAGTCAGGCCTGGTTTTTTGAAGGCGGGGCTGCCTCCATCCACGTGGCTCTGCGCAGGCTTTCGCGTAGGCTCGGGGCTTTCGTGAGTCTTGTCCTGGTGGCCTCTGCCGCGCGAAGCTTCCCATCGTCTGCCAAATGCGCCTCGCCACGTCGCGATTTTGGAGGAGCTAAGTCACAAGCCGCAAGCGGGCAATGAATGACTCAGATACACTGCTCGAGGTAGCAAAGCGCGGGCAAGTGGCAAGCGGCTTGCGTATCCGCGTAGGCAAGGAAGACGCAAGTACGCGCGCTAGGCACCTTGCAGTCGCGGGTCGCGGAGGCTTTGCGTAGGCACTGGCGTAGGCCCCGAGCCCAAAAGCACGACCCGTGTGTCTTAAACGTGAATTTGCAAATTCGCTGTGCAGATCTGAGCTGATGGGTGTGCCCAGCAATCCATCAGGCGTTGACCAAGCAGCTTCTGACTAGAAAGTGTCGCGTTGGACTTGAGATTCAGCGTGGGCGTCCCATTGTGAAGCGCATCGCCTGCAGATTTCGTCTGCCTTTCTGCTGAGATCTCCGTGTAATAGGCGTTTTGGCGTTTTGCTGGGCAACCTGCTCTGCTTAATTGGTGGACTCCTCTAGCCTTTGCATGTAGCACTGAATCGCCCTGCTGCAAGTATATTGACATAGATATTGATCGAGACCATCCCGTATTGCCATAGACTAGACAAGCAAGAGCCCGGGCACTTCCCTTCCCAAAAGACTGGCGGATGTTGCTCAAGATGTGCAAGCATTTGACGCATGCCAACCCGCGAGGGTTCAACTTCAGTGATCCCCATCTCAAAAATAGCGCCAGTGTCAGGTGTAACCGGGAAGGCGGCGCTCTGATACGTGTGGCCGCGCCTTGGCATTTGGGAAGCATGCTACCGCTGAACGGATTTGCACATCAAATCTCGAAGCAGTCTGGCGCAGAGGTTCAAACGCCCAAGGCAAATGCCCACTCTTCGGTAATAGATGATTCCTGGCAGGTGAACGGTGACATCGTGACCACCCATCACTTTGCAGAAGCACCACCAGCAGAGGCGCACCTTCAGCAGTTGACATGAGCTATGAGAGCACGAACCCGACAGAGCGGCTGCTTCGCACTGAGCACCCACTGAGGCAGTCGGCTTCCTGACGCCCGTTATCCGACTCGCTGGCACGGGGACTGTGGGATCAAGCACAACGCTTGCTAGCTGTGCTAAGCAGCCTCGATGATCGACTTTTCATGACTTCACCATCTTCACCTAATCAGCATGTGACATGTGACGGTGCATGCGAGCCTGAGTCAAGCAGCGATGCTCCAGGAAGGCAGTGCGGTTGATGCCTGGCCTATCGCCGCCATCCAAAATGCTGGCCGACACCCTCCGAGGTGGGGGGAATGCAGATGTGCAAAGCAAAGATGTAGATGGCCGACGCAGGCTGAGGGTCAGCAGTGCCAGTAAGCGCCTTTGTTTCACCTTGTCCTCCGGATGTCTTTCGTCTCACTCACGGGGTGCCTGGAATCAGGACCCTCAAGCGGACATCCCAAAGCGGATGTTCAAGAGCGAATGTTCTGGCACGCCATCGAAGGACGTCAGAAATAGAAGTAAGAGCTGTAGTTCGGGCAGCGCGTAGCTCGGATAGTGTTGTGCGTGAGCGTGCGTGAGCCAAGGATGTGATTATTATTCCACACGAACAGGTAATTTCGAGCTGCACCGCAGCCGAGCGCATCCGTGGGCAGGGGCGGTGCAGCTATCCGACGTTGCACCGTTGTGGAGTTCGCACAGAACCGAGAAATAGAGGGAGAGAGAGACAGAGAGAGAGAGTGCCTAAGACCAAGACACCCGTGCGGGATCCGCGCTTTTTGGCGAGCCTGCGCGGTCGAAATGCACTTGCGCAATTTTGGTAACATGCCGAGAGCCTGTCTAAACAACGTTGAGTTGGGCCCATTGCAATCCAAAGGCGGCGCTGGCCGGATGGCGTTCTAGAGCCGTCCTAGACTGCTGGGCACCTGAAAGCTCAAGTCTGTATGTTGCTGCAAATCTAGCTGTTGCTTTCTGTTGCCGGGGTACACGCACGAGTTTAGCGCTGCCAGCTTGGCCTTCACCCATGGCCTGTCGCTTCCGCTGGTGCTTTTGCCTTAAACGGCAAATTGGAAAGCACGCAGAGGAACTGTGGCAGTTAGCTTTGCCGACCCTCAAGCAATGCCTGAGCGCCTGAGTTGCCGCATGTTGCCGCCCGCACTCAGGCATTTCGCCACACGTACACAAGAAACAGAAACATATGCTGGAAATACATTACACACGCGAATGTCGAACTCGCTTTTACATTCTTTTGTGGAAAGCGCTTTCCTTTTTCAGAGGCCTGTGACTGTTTCAAGGCAGGTCAGTCGAAAGTTTGGTTTTGTACCGGAAAGAAACCTGGACAACAAAATGCCAGTCAGACGCGCATCACCAGCAGACTCTCACAAAACCCTCTCCCATAAGGCAACCCGTTAAAAGGACAAAGCGCTCAGAATACAACTTTTGAGCAAGACCTTCTGATGGGAACCTAATTGACCCTGGAGACCCGAATGATAAAAACCTCTCCCGCTCAGGTAGCCCCTAAGCGCATTTGGGGTGCTTGCGAAGTTCACACTTTTTGCAGAGAGTTTAGTATTGGTTTAGTAGTGTTTAATTTAAGATTAGTATGAGCAGTTTTTGGAGGTTTTGTTTTTGTTTAGATTGGGGGCCAGTTTGTCAACAGGACGAAGGGATCACTGATGACGAAGGCGCATTAAATACAATAGCGAACAAGGCATAGAACATTATGTCACAAGAGTTCATGCTTTCTTCAGTGAGCGCTTCAACATTTAAACAGATGCTGTATGACAGAGTTGAGGCAGATCAAAAACTTGACATTTGCTTTGTTCCAGCACAGGCAGGAATAAGAAATCTTCAGCTCCAGTGGATTTCCCTTTCATGTCGCTTCATTGCCCAGAAGGATTTCCCACCCCTTCATTTTCCATGCCTTCATCGTCCCTTCATTTACCCTTTATGTCCCTTCATTTACCCTTGATTTCCCTTCATGTCCCATCCCTTCAGTTTCCTATCCGTTCATTTCCCCCTTCCTTTCCCTTCGTTTCATCTCTTCATATCCCTTCATCTCCTCTTCATTTCCCTTAGTTTCCTCTTCATTGCCCACCCTTTTATTTCCCCTGTGACCCTCTTGTTTGCCCTTCATTTCCCTCATTTCCCCTTCGACAAAAGCATGGCGGGGCGACTCATCTTCGACACTGAGCGGCCGAGGCCCATTGTGCGCGAGCAGCGCTTGCCACGTAGGAGCCTCAAAGCCGCATTGCACCAAGCGCGCAACCCCGGCTTGGACCGCGACAAGCATGTCCCCTTCCTTTTCCCTTCATTTCCCATACACTGTATTCCTCTTTGTTTCCCTATTTTCGCTTCATTTGCTTCATTTCCAATCCCTGATTTCGATTCATTTCCCATCCATTTACTTCCCCTTCACTTCAATTCATTTCCAATCCCTTGTGCACTTTCAGAATCCATTCATTTTCCTTCATTCGCCTTCATGGCCCCCCTTCATTTCGCCCTTCATTTCTTCTCATTTCCCTTCATTTCCTCTTAATTTCCTCTCGTGTCCAGCTCATACCCTCTCATATCCCTTCTTTCAATTCCCCTCATTTTTCCAACGTGTTCCCTTCATTTTCTCCGATTCTCTGAGAATCGTTGATCAAAGGCTGAGCCTGATGGAGGTGCGACACCCAAAGCGATTTGAGTTGGCTGCTTGCTGCTGCCTTGGCCACATGGGGCGTGCCTACAAGGCAGCCATGTTGCCAAAGGCCGTACGCTTCCTAAAGGGATGCGGCTGAGGATTCTGAATCACATGGACAACCTCTTCAGCGTTGAGCGTCGCTTGCAGGCAAGACTCACTATAGCTGCCCTGTGGGCTCATTTTCTCTTCACCTTTTCCCTTCATTTCTCTTCATCTCCCCCTTCATGTCCCCTTCATTTCCACTTTATGCCCCCTTCATTCCTCTCTTCGCCCCCTTCATTGCTCTTTAAACAGGTTTCACGTCCTCTTCATTTCCCGCAATGCTCCCTTCATTTTCCTTCCCCATTCTCTTTAATGTCGTCTTCACGTCCCTTCATTTCCAATCCCTTGGTTCCTTTCATTTCCCATCCCTTCTTCCCCTTCATTTCTCTTTTGTGTCCTCATTTCCTCTTCATGCTTCATGTCCCTTTCATTCCCCCCCCATGTCCGCTTTATTCCTCTTCATTTGCCCAGGAATGTCATTCTGATGCTGATGATGCTGGTGATGTTGCGCTAAAGCGATGCTGGGGATGTTGGACAGTGGCCCAAGGTTTCTGCGCAAACCGTGTCCTCCTCGTATGAGGGGTTAACCTACAGGGAACGTCTTGGAATCACCGGCTGGGCAGGTGGCCACCTGCCCCCTGCCCCCGGAGAGGGGGGGTGGTGATCGGCGGATGCGTTCGCGCCGAGAGCTAGGCAAGAGCTACCTTATTTGACCATTGCTGATTCTTGCGGTTTCTGATGCATCAGTGTGCTCGGCTTGTTTCAACATGGACGCCATTTCGCTGCCATACGGCTCAAACAATGCGGCTGGCAGGCTTGAGCAGCAACTTGGCTTGCAATAGACTGGCTCTCCAGCTGATGTCGCCAAGTCTGGAAATCATCAGCCTGCCGAGTCAGAGCTGTGCCAGTAGTTTCATTGCGTTCAGTGTGTTTCCGCTTGAGCTTTTTGCGGCTTGGATATTGCCAGCTCACCAAAACTGTCATATAACACTCCCAGTTGAGTTCAAGCACGATACTGGTACAATGCACCAATACGGATGCCTGTTTGCTGCTACTGCTATGACGTACGTGGAATAAAGCTTAGCTCAACTGCTCATAGAAGATGTGTGTCCATGATGTTACGAGCGCAGTTTTCACGTGCAAAACGGTGCAGGCGTGAAGCCATCTCAAACCAGCAAGGTACATATCTGCATGCCGGTATTTTGCGCGATCCTATGGCAATAGGCAGGCCGAGGGAGAGTTGGTAGATTCATTGGAGCCAACACTAGTGGCAAATTGTCGCCTGTCCAGGATGTTCCCAAGAACTTCACCCCTGCACAAGACCCTTGGGCGACGCCAAGGACAGACATACTGGCGCCGCTAATTGTTTCGCGTGGGAAGGCATTGATTAACCCGAAGTCGATCTGCCACAGAGCTTTGACTCTTTGCTGCGTTTGCTTTCAGGAGCCCACTGACCTTGTGCTGAGTGGGGAAAAGGCGCCCAGAAAAAGCTTCAGGAGAAACTAGACAAACAGTATTGGTATAAATGTTCGTGGTCGAAGAGTTGAATTGAATTGACTTGATTTGTGTTCTGGGCAGGTTTCGGCCAAGTTGGCCCCGTTTGAGATGCTCGCCAGCATTAAGGCTGCCAGGGCACAGCCTTGAATGCAAGCCCATGAGGCGGACCTGCTCAATTCCACCTGTGCCAAGGAATGAGGTATCGCTTTGGAAGGAAGCGAACACAGAGATGGAAGCAGAGTGCCCTTTGGTTGCACTTGGCTTCATACTGCCGGATGTTCAAGGATGTTTTTTGGTCAATCATGCCCTTGGGGTTTGTAAGTTTGAAGCCGGCCGATGGTTTGTTAGCACATTTAGACATCTCGCCTTAGTCCATTGCAACTGCCTCTGGAGCGCTATGTTGCTTTCGATAGTGTCCAAGGAGGGCAGAAAGTGATCTGTACTTCGCAGACGTGTTTTAAGCACACTGGTTTGAGTTGTTGATCGCCCATGCTGAGCCAACAGTTTGTAGTTGTTGGATTTTCATTGCTTTATGCTGTTTCCAATCACCAAGCTGTTGTCAATTAGTGTGGAGCCTGCATGAACTGAGGCAGAGGGTCTGTTTGGGAGGCTGAGACAGAGAGCAGCGAGGCTTGCAGCTGCATGCAGATCCGATCGCTGTGAATTCTCCATGCAAGCTCTTCAGCTCAGGGCTCTGAGCCTCGTGAGCAACCGTCTGACCATCGGGACTGGAACGGATTGCTTTGCGCTGCCTTGCGCATCTCAACCGCCAGATGTGCGCTTTGCGAGGAGTTGGCTGTCCATGCCGACTGTCAGGAAGGCTGGCAAATGTCCTGCGGATTTCTAGCCGAGACGAAGCAAGAGTCGTATGTCGTAAGAAAGAAAAATCGGCAGGTAGAAGCTGGGAAGCCTTTGACCTGGACAACGCCGGGGGCTTCAGCTGGAACTTGCATGTTGACCGTGGTACTCGGCTTGCTGATCACAGTTCTGACAGAGAGCTTGCATTGCGGGGTTCGTAAGGATCGCATCATCTCCGAAGATGTGCTGCCAACGATATTGGAAGACGATGTTTTACAGGTACCCTTGCTTACGTGCCTTCGGCTGCAAAGTAAGCGCCCATGCCAGTGGCGGATGCCCCGACATTGAAGTGCACATTGCCAGGGCCAGAACAGCTTCAATGCGCAACAGCTGGGGGGTCTACGAGGTGTTCGATGGCAGTCTACAGGCGATCGAAGCGGATTTCCTTGTGACAGATTCCGTGATATGTGCCAGGTTCTCAGCAGTGTCGCCGCAGGTGTTGGCAACGTTGCAGAGGGCATGTTTGAGGTGAGGAATGATAGCAAATATCTCTGCCAAGTAATCAAGACAGCCCATCGCAATGCCACATGCTCCGACTGTTTTGCCGTTTAGAACATTTTGCCATGCTTATGCGACATTTTGTTTTCACGTCAGCGCCAAGGTGAGTTGCTTGGGCAATCCTGCGTTTCCAACTAGTATGTCCCTGTTCTGCCCCACCCTCATGAGTTGTTTCAGTACTACTGTATGTTTTATGTATGATGCTGCTGGGTTTAGCGTAGCACATGCTTTTGGCCAGGCAACAAACCTCGTCTTCTCGTGCTCCTTCGCTTTATTGCTTCATTGAGAATGCGGAGAATGTGACCATGTGGCATGTGTGGTCAGGACTAGTGAGCAAATGACAGGTGTGTTGGTTTGCGTTGGTGACTGTCTCCGGATGAACGGAGCAACTCGGTGACGTGTGAGGACTCATGGAGACTCGGTTCTAGCCGCGTAGCTGCAGAGGAAACGGAGGAGCTGCACGGAGGCTAACAGCTGGAATTGGAGCAAGGGGCCTGTACAGTTTCCAGCGCATTGGAAGGCCGTCTAGCGCAGTCTGCAATCCATCGCTTTTGACATCAAAGGCAGAAACCTGGACATACCTGGACAAAGCATGGTTCCCTGTATTTCTTAGCAGCCCAAGTCTATGTGAGCCAGTCCGATTTGTCCAGTGAGTCTAACATGTTGCTCCAGGCACGGGGCAACTTCCTGAACTTGAGCCAGTCATGCACTGCAGGGGCTGAGTTGCTTTCCTTGACCCCAATTCCCACTGAGTCTTGGCCTTTTGAGGGACTTTTCAAAGCAGTGACTGATGAGGCTTGGGATTGCGGGAATGGCGCCATGTGTTCATGCAGCACACGGTGCAGCACATCGCTTTGTTCACACAAAGCATGTTGCATTGCTGCAAGAGGTGCTGCAATTCTATCCGGTGCGTGTTTGTTGCCTCGAGCGAAGATTCATGAGGGACGCACATGGAGGCAGGTCGAGACTGCGGACCGAGATCCGATGCCTTCCGAGTCACCAAACGACATCATACACCAACATGCAAGATGCATTATAGATGAAGATGGGAACAGGTGCAAAAGCCAAGTCTTTATGCCAGTCCCCAGGAACCCCGCCCCTTTCACCCCGTGAACCGCACCCCAGCACCCCTCGCCCACGAAGCCAACCCCAAACCAACGTCCAACCCTAAACCAACCCTAAACCAACCCTAAACCAACCCACCAACCCCACCCAACCACCCCACCCCACCCCCACAGAAGGGGGCGGCCGTGAACACACATATAAATATATATATATATATATATATACACAGACATCAATATGATATTTGTCATGCTAATGTGGGCGCATACGTGCTGTATGCTGCTGTTGGCAAGTGGGCTAGGTGCAGTGCAGTCTCGGGCTTCCACCCTCCAATAGGCCGACAAAGAAACGGGAAGCCAGTTGCATCCTTCGGCATCAGTGCACGGCGAAGCCATGCGAGTTTCAACAGCAGAGCGTGTGCTTTTGGAGTTTCGCGAGCCCTAGTTTTCCACCAGCTATCAGAACTAATTGCAGCATTGGCCTTGCTCTGTCCATTGGGAGAAAGCAATGCGAGAGCACACGCGGGCTTGCTTCTGATTTTGTGCATTTGCATTTCGCGTGGCTCCTCATCTTGAGTTGCCCACGTGACATGCGAAATTGTGATGCCCACTGCTCACTGATGAATCGTTTGGCATGAGCCGGCAAGGTCAGTTCATTGAAGTGTTCCACTTCATTCTCGGCCAAACACAGTGAAGCATAGCAAGAGGCACTTGGTACTACTGCGTCATGAGAGGTAAGCTCAAACTGGCCCTAATCATTCCCAAAGGGTCCGCCACATTTCAAGAGTAGCTTTGACAGGCCCGTGGTCCGCTGTGTGATACGCGAAGGCGCGGGTGTTTAAAGCGTTCATGTGTTCTTTCCAGGTGGGCACAATGCCCACCACATCAACCGTTGCAGAGTTGGCAAGTCTCGCGATGTCTCACGCTGACATTTGAGAGAGCCATTAGGCTCTTTGACGTTTTCGTTTTCGGTGCAAGTGGGACGTGCCGCCTCCGCATCCCGTTTCACGCGTTTAGGCCGTGGCCAGAATGTGGATGTGGCTCAAGTTTATACAGCTGGGGTTACGCAGGCGTTAGTCTTTGTTTCCATATACCAAGTTGGCATTTTGGATACCATTTCTTGAGCCACAGCCATGTGATATCAAGCGACTATAGGACATCGACAGAGTTCTGCCATGAGCTTGATTTTGCGACAGAAATGGCCGTGCCAACCCACACATGCACCCTGTGCGGTCTTGTGCTATGTGCTGATAAGGTTTCGTGATGGCAAACATGTACGCGCGTTGAAGCTTGTGACTATCACCACAAGCTGTGTTTTATAACTGAAGGCTTGTGTGTGGTGCTGCTAGAATGTGACCAACAATTCTGCTGAATCGTCCCAACATTACTTTGCAGCCTTTCAGAACAGGACTCATTCCTTGCTCTTACGCACGTGGCAGGAGGCTAAGCCATCCACTTTTGGGGTTTGACTCGTTTTCGGATGGTTTCCTCTGGTTTGTGGAAGGACATGTGGCCTGGTGGCACCCGGGTCGAGCGAGCAGTCAGCGCCAAAGGTGCCAGCAACTAGTCAAAATGCTGACGCGAGTGATGCGAGATTCCTGCATCTCACTGCTTTGGATTGGCTCAAACAGTCCAGCTTGCCCTAACCCCAAGCAGCGGTTTTATCCGCATGCACTGAGCTTGCTCGCGGCCAGAGCCGGCACGGCTCAGAGATGGCGGAGACCGTGTTGGAGGTCCGGTGTGACGTGACAATGAAACCAAGGATCAAGAAGGGCAGCCAAAAACTTAAGAATGAAGGAGGGCAACCAATTGAAAGTACAAGCGTTCAGTTCACTCCAGAATGATCAGTAGCTGCTCACGACTGACAATCATGTTTAAGGATGACGGGCGCATTGTTCTTCCTACGAAAACCGTACAAATCCCAAAGAAACGAGTGTGGGTCGCCGTGGGGCCTGTGTTTTTTAACCACTGTGTTTTCATCATAGTTGCATCTTGAGTAGAACATGCCTCACATGCTACTGTTGTGTCATTTACTGTCGATTCTTCAATGAGGGGACATGGCATCAACTGCCTGGCGTATGCCTATTATGTATCTAGCATGTGCAGTACGTTGTGTATGTCTAGCTTGTATCCTCTGTCCAATACTTGCGGATTCTGTACTCTATATCATCTCTATATCCGGCATATTTCTGACATTATTCCAAGGTATGTCAGAGCATTTGTTCATGCGTAGCTCAAGCATGCTCCTAGCATATGTCCACCCTATTCCTAGCTTGGACATCGTAGCTTGTCACAAGTTGTTTGTGCTGCTGTGGTGTTCCTTGTACATGTTGTCCGTGGGCTTGGAGTGTTTTTTCCTAATAGATGTTGTCCGTGATTTATTATTATTATTAATTTTTTTTTGGGGGGGGGTGGTGTTTGTTTGCTTGTAGATGTTGTCCGTGGGCCTGGGGTGGTTAACTTGTAGATGTTGTCCGTGCTTGTGTCGTGGTCTTGCGTTGTTTATCCTGGTGAACTGGTGAACGTAGTCAATGGATTTCAGAGGTGTTTGTTTCTTGTAGATGTTGTCTTTGGGCCTGTTTTATTATTATTTTTCCGTGTAGATGTGGTTGTGCGAGCTTGGGGTGATTTTTCTTGTAGATGTTATCCGAGGCTTGGGGTGTTTTGCCGTGTCGATGTCTGTGGATTTGGGGGACGGGTGGAGTCTTTTTCCTTGTAGATCTTGTCCGTGGATGCTTGGTGTTTTTCGTTGTGGATGTTGTTCTCGGGCTTAGGGTGTTTTTTTCTTGCAGAGGTTGTCCGTGGGTGTGGGGTGGTTTCCTTGTAGATGTTGTTCTCGGGCTTGGGGTGTTTTGTTCTTGCAGATGTTGTCCGTGGGTGTGGGGTGGTTTCCTTGTAGATGTTGTTCTCGGGCTTGGGGTGTTGTTTCTTTGCAGATGTTGTCCGAGGGCTTGGGGTGTTTTGCCTTGTAGATGTTGTTTGTGCATTGGGGACAATCTGTCCGTGTGTACCTAGATCGACCTGTTTCCACATCGTATGTACTTAGCTTGTTGCCAACATAGCATGTGCCTAGCATGTCATGACTAAGTTATGCTTTGCAGTCTAGCAGAGTTCTATCAAGTGTCTCTCTGATTTCACCTATGATGCGTATGCCCGGCGAAGGCCTTGCATGCATAAGGATGCGTGTAATGTATTGTTGATTCTGTTTCCGATGCTTCCAGCTTACTTCCAAATCAATGGTTCATAATTATCCGAGTTGTCTCATGAATGATCATGAATGTCCAGCTGCATCACGCAGACCGATTGTTTTAGCACACGTGTGGTATGTTCCCATTTTTAGGCGAATGAATACATTGTTAGCATCGTGTACCTATCATATGTCCAGCGCATAATTCTGGTCCCCTCCCACACAAAAATGAATTACTGGAAATCCAAAACAATCGCAGACACAAACATAGGATCAGGTTTTGTTTGTTTGTTGTGTGAGTTGTCGACTTGTGGTGGTTTTGAAGAACGGTGGCCGCCCAACAACCCTTTTCTAATACAACACAAACGCAGGTTGTAAGGTTTCGAGTTGCATCCAAGCAGCTTTCCAGGCGCGAACTGCACGAAACAACTTGCAAACTTACCCTGCGAAAAGCAGTGTATTTGTTCTCTTTGCTACTACCACAACCAGGCGAGAAGTGGTACAATCAATGTTTTAGCATGCGATGCAACCGTCAAACAAGTGAGATTCTTACGAATTGCCCGTCGCGTGAGTCTTCCGCAAACTATATCAATAATCTTGATTTAGTGCCACATATGGTGCGTATACACATGCAGATGCTGCTGGTGTCAACATGGGACTCCTTTCCTCCTTTTTCCCAAGAAACATGTTCCAATGTCGCCTTAAGCTTCCCGAGGCACGATCTTTGAAGCCTTTCCGCACGGTGCAGATTTACCAGTCAGTGCTTATTCTGACTGCATTGCATATAGCAAGAACCATTTTTACTTGCGAACCCCGGATATTTGGCTATACCTGTAAAATACACGGATATTTGCTTAGAGGGCCCTTCAAAAGACAAATTATATAAAGTCTTGCTTGTGTTGAATTATATAGCCCAAAATGCAAACTGTCATGAATTGTACAGTGTCGCCTGACATTGTTTTTTGGCTCAAGTGAAAATAGGGCGCTCTGCAGCGGCCAATCATATTTTCATGGCAGCGGGGAGCAATAAAGATCCAGACGTGCCCTGAAAGGGACAAAGGTTCCAGCTTACCCAAGGAAGCCTGCCGGCGTCGGTCGGTGCAGGAGCAGAGGCTGCGGAGGCTCAGGGGGACAGGCAGCGCCATTGCCAGGGCCCGCGGCAAGAGAGCTTCAGGAAAAGGCAGGGCCATTACCAGGCGGTAGCCCCGGATTCAGGACCGGACTGGCCCCCACCTCGAGAACCGGCGCAGCTCCAACCTCAACCCATCCAGAAGCGGTGGGTAGTGCCTGAGCCTAAGGAGAAAGGCAAAGGCAAGGCAAAAGCAGGAATGGGAAGGCACCCAGGAAGTGGAAACCGTCAGGCGAGGAGGCGACAGAAGAAGCAAGGAGGCTCACGATTTCCGCCTTCTCAAGGGGCTCGTGAAAAGCCGAGATGGAGCCCCAGGAGTGTGAAGAGCTCTAAGTGTGCCGGTTTGCTTCCCGCGTCGTCAGCAGGCGTACAGCCCGGAGGTAGTGCTAAAGTGGCAAAGGAAGGTGTGCGTGTTTGCCAGGATGTGAGAAGGAGGAACAAAGCGAGGAGTCGGATGAGTACACCTACTTGTCCTCATCACCCTACACCTCGGAGACTGCGTATGGGAGGAAGTTGAAGCCGAAGTCCAAGCCGAAGGCAAAGCCGGCAGTACGGCCGGGCAAAGCCGAGCGAGGCGCCAAACGACTGCGGAGAGCGCGCGTAGCTCAGACCCAAAGCCATGAGTGCTCCGGAGATGGCAGCAATGCCTGTTGGAGGGAAATAGCGCATTGCGCAAGCAGCAACAAAGTCAGACGCAACAAGACGGGCTGGCTGAGTTGGCTAGAGGAACGTCAGAAAGGGATTGGCAAACCGGAACGTTTCAGCAATGATGCACATGTGTTCCGGAAGCGGGCACGGTCAATTGCCAGCCTGGATGTCAGCTTTTCTTGAGGTTTCGGTCGTCGTTGACGTATGCAGTAACGGGTACAGGCACGGCGCAAGGTTCGCAGCGCTGCGACGCTTCGGGCGGGGAGCGCAACAACTTGCGGGCCATTCCTCAGTTTGGGGCGATGGTGAGGCAGCCCAAGAGGAGGAACAACCCGAAGGGGAGCATGATGTGGGTTTGTCCAAGCTGGATCCCGGCGAAATTCCATCCGGCTGGGCAGACAAGGCGCCGGTGAAGAAAGCCCTTGCGCAGTCGGACGCAACCGCAGCAAAAGGCACAGTCAACCGAGTAGGCCTGGGGGGGCCCGCCACATCCAAACACGCTTTCTTTGGTTACGGGGCAGGGCGGCGACGAGCCATGTAAAGGTAGCACGCGCGAGCTGCTGCTCAACCACTGTCAAATGCCCCGTGAACGGAACAGATCCGATGTACTGACAAGTCAGTTCCCGGAGTCCAAATGAAGGACACACTACATTTGCCCAAGCCTTCAATGTTAAAGAAAACTAGGACCTCCGGAGCCTCCGGAACGTATATGTTTTACTCACAAGTGCGGTGTTTTGCCTGAAGAGATGTTTGCGTGTCTATGTTGCAGGTGTTTGGCTGCGACTAACATCGACGCGGGAAGGTAGGGGCTTGTGTACCCAGGTGAGTCTTCTGGACTCTTAAGGCCCTGACCCAGGCTCCGTCTACCGCACTGCGTAGTTGCCGCGCCAAATTTTCAGCTTGGCAACAAGGTTTTTGTATTGCTTTCTTTTGTCAGGGCAAGTCAGCGCGTAGCCCGCCTTCGCGAGATGAAGTGCCGCAGAACTCATCGGTATGACGGTATGACAGCACGACAGCACAACACGCTGCGCTCCGTGCGAGCCCGCAGGTCTTCAAGAAGTTCGACGCAGATGGCTCTGGAGCGATATCGCGCGGAGAGCTGGGCGAGGTATCCCGAACTGGCATCGCTAAAATAGGGGGCCATGGCTCATTCGATTGTTCAATTTTCTTGTTTTTCCCGACAAAGCGTTGCTTGGAAGTAGTGTTTAGTTGGCAATGCCACTTTGTGATAGCGTTGAATGCTGCATACATGTTTGGGTTTGCTCAGCGTACAACTCTAACCTGCTGACCTTTGCCCCTGAGGTGCTGCAATCCCTGAAAGAATCAGATCCATGGGAGGATGAAGATATTGATGAGATTCTGGCAGCGGCGGATTCAAGCGGCGATGGCGAATTGCAGATTCAGGATGTTGAATCAAATGTTGTCTTAACAGCAAGTTTATGCTTAGCTGGAACAGATGGTCTCAATGGAAACCAAGCATCTTTTCATGTTGGGGACATCCCGAACCAATCATCATGTGTGTTTTTGAGGGTGCCCATTGTGCGTTCCCTTGAAGGGAAAGCAACAGGACTATTGACATGCCCAGAGTCCAAATCTCTATTTTGACACATTGCCCCAGTCGAGGAGTTTGTGAAGTGGATCTTTGCTGAAGACAAGGAGATCTCACAGGGAATCAAGCACAAGGCTACCATGAAGATCTCAGGTGGGGGTGTTAGTTTAGTGGGTATTTCTCAAATGAGCCTGTTAGGTTCCCAAAACATACAAACATTTCAGCAGCAAAGTCTTGCCGATCACTGGCTTTCTGTGAGTTGGGAACTCTGCAGCCGTCGCTCCAGGTTGCTCCCGGACGGGCTACGATGGGGACTATGTCCAGAAAGAAGGAGAATACTACTACCGCAGGCCGATCTTCTATTGTGAGGAGCAACAGAAGTTCCTTTTCTACCATGGACAGAGGCACGGAGCGGACCAAAAGTCATGACGTTGCGTGGCAGAAAGCACTATCCGACGTTTGGGAATCTCAAAAGTGTCTACTTGCCAAAGTTTTGGCAGCGGCTCATCAGCTAGCGAAGGAACGAACATGCCGCATAGCCTTGTTAATAAGGGGTCCTGTAATTTTGGACACCGTGTGGCTCCCATTTCAGGAAGCAGTGGTCGCTCTTCTGGCGCACTGGGGCGAAAGCTTCTTGCCGTCTCAAGACCTCGCGCACGGCTCACATGCCTGGAGAAGGTGCGACCTGGGCAGTGTGGAAGAAGAATGGCAAGAACGGCAGCTAGGCTCAAAGCCCATCAACAAAAGCAGTGATGGTCCCGGAAAAGCAGAGCACAAAAAGAAGCCAAGCAGAAGTGTTGGTTTTCGTCCTCAATTAGGGCTGTGAGTTGGTGGATTGAACATATGGGGATGCAGTTTGGACTCGCCCATGTCACTGGCTGCATTTCTGCTGACTCTGCTCACCGCGCTCTTTCTGCGTGAGGCAAGAAGAAGAGCTTCGTGCGTGAACCCGACATGAAGTGCGAGGCTGAGGTGGCCGAAGTCCCCGAGCAGGAGCAGGAGAACCCGGAGGAGCCGCACATCCTCCAATGGTGCAGCTTCCCATGGTCATACCACATCGCAAGTCCCGGAATACTTGGCACATGCAAGAATCTGCTCACCCTGATTCCTGGCGCTTTCAGAGTGCCCATCCCTCCACTCGCCCATCCTACTTCCTGCCTGGCGTTCCTGTGGTTCAACATTTCTCAGGGGGGCGTCAGTGCCACAAACACTGCTCCAAAAATCTGAGCTACAACCACCACTGACTGCAGCCAGTGGTGAATGGGGGTTGAGTTTCTACCAATGAGGCAGAGCGCTGCGGGACTTTTCAGCGTTTGGCAAGTATCGGGGTGGTACCAGATTTGTCACTTTTTCATATAGACTGACATGGGACATTGGTTGAATCTGAATGCAATGCACATCGACCGATTCTTGCATGTCAAGCTTTCCAGTCTTTCTTCCAGTACACTTTCATGACATGTCCAACACAGATCTAAACATTGCCAGCCAGTGCTTTGGGGCGCGTTTAGAGTATCCTTAGCATGCATACAAATATCCTTAAACCATGCAATAATTCTACTGCATGTCCTTTTCACGGCAGAGACCTGCATGTGTGTAGCATGTACCTCCTATAGGTCTAAGAGCTACGGCATGTGTTTGTATTTGTTTGGCTTGTTTCTAGCTTGTTCTGTGGGGCAAGGACACTCGATTTATGGCTTTTTGCATGCAAATGCGTCTACTATTTGCGTGATATAGCCACTCAGCATGTGTCTAGCGAGTTCAGCATGTCTCTAGCACCACATGGCTAATCTAGCTGTTCCAACATTGACAAGCCTGACTCGATTCCAGTTGTTCTCCGGTTGTTTCGCACCTTTGTATCATACATCCTACAAGCTTACCACGCTTCTTCCATCACGGAAAGGGAGCATGGGGTAGGAGGTTGTCGAAACAGCGACCGAGCAGGCCAATGATCGACTAGCGCATTTTGCCCCCAGCTGTGTGTGCCAACCAAGAAAACAAACATGTGCACCAGGAAGATACGGCCGTGATGCCTCTGATCGCCTGAAAGTTCTTCCACCCTTACAGCCTGTTTCCCATCTGAACCCTGCGAGGAGCTTCTGCAGCAGTCCGAGCAGTGTGTGAAGTTTGATGAGATCTACTACAAGAGAATCGATGGGGTGGGGTGGAAATTCCGTAAGAGTCGGTACAGTACCAATCGCGGGTCGAATGATGGTTTCGTATGATCAGAGGCCAAGACATGAAGCAGCAACAATACGGACATAGCCAGCAACAGTAGGGATCTAGTTCTGTGGCTGTATTGAGATAATCGCCTACAATAATTATCCCAACGATAAAAGGCTCGTTGCCATACTGATTCTGTGCGTGGAATCGTGTGTAGGTAGCTATCCCAACATCCATCCCCGGCAAAATCATGCGGTAACCGTGATTTTGTAAATGCGTGGAAGACTAGCTCAGCGCTTCAGCTTCCCGTTGTTGTCCCTCAGGTCGTTGGCAATCGAGCAGTGTACCGGCAGTCCAAAGGTGACGACTGGGGCGATTCCTATCTCTTCTATGAAAAATCCGACAGCAAATGGAAAATGGCCAGCGAAGCAACGGAGGGTGCGAGTGCCTTACACATCTCAAGGACTGGGCCGGGAGAGCGGAAGCTGGAACTTACTCTTGGTTTACTGTCTGAACGCGGGGAATCTGGAATCGCACAATCTGATCTTGTCGACACGCATTCTGTTCCTTCTTTGTGGGTGCCGGCCGCTCTTGCGAGGATCACCAAAGAAGCTTCCCCTGAAAAGGCAGCTTGGTTTGACGAGCGAGGCAAGCTGGATGTGGTCGCAATTGACACGGATGGGATTCCCAACAGCACGGGACAAAGGCTAACGTTGAACCGCAACGTTCCGGATGGGTGGAAGGATGAGTCCTTTCCACATCACAAGGAGCCGCAGGGGAGAGGGGCATTCCATGTGAGAAAAAGGCAGCTTGCTCTGTACTCGCCAGGACTCCATTGGGGGAAAATGTTCCTCGTCTGAACTGGCAGACGCGACTCTGTTCCTTTCGAGCCCTGGGGTGAAGCCAATTGGGTATGGGTCAAAATTAAACCACCAGGGGACCGCAGGTTTTAGTCTTTGTTTCTATTTACCAGGGTTCCATTTTTGGAGTACCTATTTTTGACCCACACCCAATTCATTGCTTGCCTTGAAGCCACACGAAAAGAAGCGAGGCTCCGCCAAAGTGGGCCGACTCCGCTGGCTGCGCGGCATGGCGCTCCACGAAAACCCGGTGCTTTTCGCGGATGTGGAACCAGCAGACGCCCTGCAAGGCAGCGTGGGCAACTGTTGGCTCATCGCCGCCATGTCTGCCATTGCCGAATTCCCGTCCTACTTGAAGAACAACATCTTCCTCAACAAGAAGGCGCGGCCAGAGACAAGCGGTGACAAATCCATGTTCCTGTAATCTGCAGTTCAGCATGAAAGAGAGTCGTCTCCATGAGTTTTGAAAGACTTTGAGTCCTTGTCCAGATTTCCAAAGAGGGGAAGTATCACGTCAAGCTCTTTGATGGTCGCTTCGGCCAGTGGAAAGTCATCATGGTGGACGACTACCTGCCATGCTCAGCTTATGGTGGAGATCGGCCTCGCCTCATTTTCGGGAAGATCAACGATGGAAAGCTGTGCCTCCCGCTGATTGAGAAAGCCTTTGCGAAGCTCTATGGCTCTTATTCAGCTCTTTGGTCTGGCTTTCAGCCTGTGGCATGGTACCACTTGACCGGCTGCGACAATTTCTTCCAGTACAAGTTTCAGTACGAGCAGGCCGTGAGGTGGGTGGTCAAGGCCGATGAAGGTATTCCAGTCTATTCGGACAGGAGAAGGGCGACGAAGCTTGGCGTGTTGGCCGGAGGCTCTCACTTTTATGAGAAGCAGCGGATCGGAGGTTGGGTGAAGATCGCCAAGGTAGATGGAGATGGGCCAACCTCGGGATGGATCATGTACTACAACAAAGGCCAGCGCGTGGCGAGCCGTGATCCTGTTTACCCGCCCAGGTATTATTTTATGCACGTCTTTGTGAAGCCAGCAACAGCCACTTGGATAAACTGCGCAGTTCTCTGAATGGCTTTGCGTTGTGTATTTCCGGACTTAATAGGACATTACCCCGTCCCTCAGTTAGATCCTGGTCAATCCTCAAATGGGTAAGGCATCCCTCAACTGTTTGATTTATTTTGCATCAACTACCGAGGTAATGGGAGGCATCAAAGGAGAATCGACCAGCAAAGTGTCGGGCTGGACGCAGGCTTTCCAAACCAGGATCAGCAAGTTTGTCTCTGGGCAGCGATTCAAGAGACAATGTTCTTTACTGTGCTTGTGTGTGTGTGCAAGTTTGACTGGCCTTTTGCTACTGTGGATGGACGAAATCTTGCACCGCTTTCAAGTCATGATAAGCCATTGTTTGTTGGTAGGGGAATCATCCTTCCAGGGCTTAGGTGGTGCGAAATGGATTTCGTCCTTATACGACTGGTTTGTGAGTGGGCATTGAATGCTTGCAGGTGTCAAAAGAGGGAGCTTGGTATGATCTCTTGAAGTTCGACAAGGACAATCACCTCATGGCAGCGATAGCCACCCAGAGCAGTGACGAATCAGACTCTGGATTGGTCCATGGTCACGCCTACAGCGTCTTGAAGATCGTTGAGGTCCAGGGTTTTCGGCTTGTGGCTTGCAGAAATCCATGGGGAAGCGATGCCGAATGGAATGGACCTTGGAGTGATCGAAGCGCTGAATGGAGGGCAAATCCGAGCGTCGCAAAGGCCTTGAACGTGGATTTCCAGACAGAGGGCACATTCTGGATGGATTATGAGGATTGGATGTACACCATGGGGAACATCAAGGTCATGAACTGTAAGATGCCTACCTCGCGAGGTGACTTCCATTCCCAGTTCGTGGACGAGGATGAAGATGGTGACCGGGATGAGGGAGACAATGATTTTGATGAGGAGGAGTTTCGGACGATGTTGGTCCAGTGTTTGCAAATGGCCATGGCCAGTGAACATCCGAATCCCCACTAAATTAGACTAAATGGGTGGTGCACCTACCCGAAAATGGTACCATTGGTTTTGATCCGCAGCCAAATGAATGCAAGTTATTCTGGCATTCCGGACCCCTTGAGGACGACTCTGGCGGTGGAGATATTTGGATCACTCCGCCAAGGAGCGGAGGCAAAATCATCGCTTGCTCAGGGCTGGGTGTGAATTGGAACGCGCCGGTGCTGATGCGGAACGGCACCCAGCTGCAACCAGGTGACGTGTAAGAAGGAAGCGCCGATGTCGGTGCTTTTTGTCGGGTTTTGCAAGCTATGCCCCATGAATTCGACGATGGAAACAGCTAGTTGCCAGCCAGTGCCTACACGTTTCTCGGGGATTGGGAGTTTTGGCCACCTTTGCCCTGCAGGTGACACTGAACAGAAGTTTGTGAACGTTCCTACCTGTTTGGACGGCGGCACATACTTTGGGCACCCTGCGAGCGTCTCCCCTGGCTTTTGGAACATTGAGTTTGAGCCTCCCACGACATTGTACGTCTGGCTCTTGGATGGCAGCACCAACTCACTGGAATTGGTCATGCCCACACAAGGCTGGACAGTGGTGAATGCTCCGGGCTTCCAAACCAATGACGGATACAAACTGCATCTCTTGTCCAAATACATTGAGGAGGAGGATCGCTACACTGGGCGTTACGAGTGTTTCAGAACTATTAGTTCCTACTTCTGCGGCGGGCTGGTTGGAACCTACCCTTTGCCCAAGGAACCTGAAGTGATGGTTTCTGCGGCTGTTCCATCGGTGTCTGAGGGCGCTGACTTCCCAGTCACAGCTTGCTCCGGCCTGGAGATTGATTGGAATCCTCCGACGACGATGAGTGAGGGCACCCTGACAAATCCAGGCGAAGAGGACGGGGGTCCAGGGAGTTACGAAGCTGCTCTATTGACATTAGAATCGGAGAAAACACCGAAGAAAACACATAAATGCAAGAGGAAAACGAGAAAAACAAAGGCCTACCCGGACAGGAGCTGGCTTTTCAGAATGTGCCCGAAGTGTTGCTGGGTGGCACCTACATTGGCACCAAGTGTTGGCCTTCCTCGGGCACCTGGACCATCGAATACCAAGCTCCTTGCAAGTTGTACGTCTGGGCCAGGGGAGACGAGTACAACGCCGGGGTGGATGAGCTTCTTAGCGGTGATGCTTGGGCTCGCGAGGCGGCAGATGGTTTTCAACGCAGCGATGGCCCGGCATTGCATCTCTGGGGCAGGCATTTCACGACAGGACCGGGATCCGTTTGATCTGACAAGACTCTAAGACGGTTTCAATTATTACAAACGACCTTGACCGAAGGGGAACTTCAGAAATCGTGGAAAGCGCTTGGCTCAGGATCCTCTTACAGCATCACAGTGGAGTCTCAACTCATTAGCGGTGTGGTTGGCCAGCCCCTGGAGCTGGGCGGTGAAGTGACGAGCTGCGCGGGCCTGGACATCGATTGGAATGCGCCCCGCATGATGACCGAGGGCACTCTAGTGAATCCAGGCGAGCTGTTTCAGGGGTGCTTGAGACCAAGTCAAATTGACGGGAATTTGCGGAGGCAATTTGTGTCCCCTCAAGAGAGTGCTTTTTGCTTTTCCTGCTGCCTGCAGGTGACCGCGACTACATCTTCGAGAAGTTGCCTCCCTTTTTGGCTGGCGGTTTATACATTGGCAGCAGGACTTGGCCGAAGGCGGGCACGTGGACCATCCACTACCAAGCTCCCACCATCCTGTACGTGTGGGTGGAGAAGGGTGATTACAACGGTGGCGTTGATGACGCGTTACGTGCAGATGGTTGGATTTGTGAGGACGTGGGTGGTTTCCAACGTGCGAATGCAGCTGGAAGTAACCCATTGGGTGTGTGGAGCAGGCACTTTGTCGCCGGCTCCTCATACAGCAGCTTGGAAAAGTATGAGTGCATGAGCAAGTGCCCATATCATCGGTCATTAATCCACAAGGGGCAGACATTATGACATTCATGGGTTTTCGTGACCATTGCAACCAATGTTTACATCAGTGCAGAATAATTACAGAGCAAGCTGCAGGCATTGAGACGACCGGCTTGATGGTTGGCGGTGTCGTGTCCGCGGCAGCTGATGAGTGAGATTTGAGCAAAGGCTCAGCTCTCGGATGTTTCACCAGTGTTGATCGATAACCAGGAATGATCCGAACATGTTTGACCGAGAATCAAAGCATCGTTGAAGTCTGCGGCCTTTTGATCGAAGTTTGTTTCCCCCTCGACCCCTCGCAGCATGTGTCGTTTGCATGGTGACTGACTGTGAGCCTGGAACTCCGAAGGTTCTCTGGCCTTTGGAGGACGGTGCCGGAAAATGGCCTGACCTGACCGATCCAAACTGAAGCTTGCGGCAAAAGCCGGGCGAGAAACAAACTTCCATTGTGCCTTGTTCATTTTCTCAAACAAGTTCTGCTCCCTTGTCTTAGAGCATGCTGGAATGCTCTGAATCTCCCACCTGAGCGCGGCATTTCATTGAACCACCTTGATGACCGACATATGTCCGACATGGAATTGTTCGAAGAACCAGATTCATCCATTGGTTGCTTTGTGTTTTTAGGGGCACTTTATCAATGCGTTGTTGTTGCTCAAACTTTTCGTTTTGGCGACCCGACTTGTCATTGCCGTCAGTGCCGGGGCGTGGGTTGACTCCCACGCCTCGGAGATCGGCGGTTGGGTGCTCTTGCTGTGGTTGCTTGCTTTGCTCGCTTGGTGCGGTGTTGCTGCTCTGCTTCGCTGTGCTTGCTGCCCTGCTGGGCTTATTCACTTGTACTGGCACCCTGTTTTGGTTCGTGTTTGTGCCGGCCGGGGGCACCGCTTTGCCCTTGGGACCGGGGGTAATTGGCCTTTCCTTTCTTGTTGGTGGGTTTGGGTTGGTTAGTTACTTCCCGAAACTCTGTTTCAAACCTTTCGCAGGTTATCAGCCGTAGGATTCGTCCTCGGTTGGCACCGCGAGGCCACGCCGAAATTCTGGAGGTTGCGAATGCCTCCCAGGTGCCGTTTTGCTGGTCCTGACTATTTGTTAGACCACCCTTTTTCCGATGCTATATGATCAGAAAGGCACCGAGGATTTTTCGTCTAGTGCCTTGCTTTGAGAGCGGGCTAAGTTCCCAGACTGGAATCTTGGACGTGATGCTGCTGAACACGGTAACCTGGAGTTCCATCCTCATCTTTCCCGAAATTGATGAATGTCGGACAGGCTGAAGACCATGCCTCAGGCAGTTGGTAACGAGCATAGACAATTTTGCGTCGACCAGTCTGAGCGTGATATTGCTGCAGAAAGGACCAATTGCAAAGCGGAGGCTCAACGTGAGGTCCTATGACATCTTTACCACCATGGGGCCGACTATTAAGCCGACTGCTTCGAGTGCAAGGCTGCGGCCAAAGAAGCGCGCAAGCAACGCAACGCAAAGGGCGGAAGCTGGAGTACTTGCGGCCTGGAACACCAAGCATATTAGCGTGACGGTTTCCCAGTTCCAGCCACGATTAACGAACAACATGCGTTTAGCTCTCCGCCAAGCATTTCGGTGAAGCAGCGCGCAGGATAGAGCGAGGGGGATAAGGTCCATTGGGGATCTTGCAACGCACGTGAAAAAATGGTCTCGTAACAGCGATAGGCAATTGGCTAGACTAATGCGACCACCACGCACCGCGCTGTGTGCAGGACGATCCTAAGCTGCGTTTGGGCGCGAAGTCCCGACCCTTAGCCTACGATCAACTGCTGGGCCGCCTAGTGACCCGGAAGATTCATGAAGACAACCAAGCTACTATTCTTGTTGCAACAAAAGGTCACTCTCCTAAGTTGAGGGCAATCAATTGCATAGGGTAAATTTAGCGTCTCTTGCAGAGCAGTTACCAAAAGGCAGAGGGAAAAGCTTGAGGACTTCCAAGCAGACAACATCTTCACCAAGGCTTTGCCCCCACGTGGGACCATGCCTTGAGGCTTCTCTTGGGGTGTGCCAATCTCGAGGAGCTAGAAGATACTAGGTTCAAAATTAAGACCTCTATCCTTCTTTCTTTCAAGATTTACTTATGGCCTCCGTGTCACGCCAGTAGAGTGGGCTTGTTTGGTAGGGTTAAGGGACAGCGTCTGACAAAAAGGTGCTTGCTCCGCGGAAACCACCGCCTGAATTGAGGGATTACAATGCGCAGGGCGCTGCCTCGTTTAGGGTTCTTGCTCTTTTGAGTAACATGGCGCTCTGATGCCGGCCGCGGGGGCTATTGACATGTGGAGAACGCAAACGACGCCCCCTTGAATCTGGGGTAAGGAAGAGACGGCTTTTTGCCTCGAGCGCATGGGGCGCTTGACACGTTCACCTGATAACGTTCTTCTGGGACGCTTTCGCAAGGCTATGTGTAGATTGCGTGGCTTGCGCTACACTTCGCAAGCTGATAAACTACAGATTCGTTGCAGGCACAGAAGTTTCGCAAGCTTAGGTGCAGGTTTCGTGGCAAACATATAGCGCTTCGCAAGGACAGCTAGATTTCGTGGTAGGCGGGGCGCCTGCCACAAACATGGGAATTGGTGTTTGGGTGCCAAGTTGTGGCCAAGCGCACAAGAATGGGAGCTTGTCCAATAACTGCTGTTTGGGTTCCAAGTTGCAGTCCGCAGGACCGGTCCTGGGACTGGTCTGGAGCAACGTAGATATCCTCAGACGTTTTGTTGGTCAAACCCGGTTTTCGTAAAACCGTTTTGCTAGAGCTGTTGGCCGCACTGATATTGCCTGCAAATTTACTAGACCCCAAAAAGGGGTGAGACACGAGATCAGTTGATGCCTTGGCTATTTTTTGTGATTTTAATAGAATTATTAAGATTTAATTATTATATACAAAATCTCGTAAATATCTAAAATAATCCATGTTTTAAATATGTTTGAAATGAGAAGGGGGGTTAATTTGATTTAATTTGTTAATAATGGATATGAGTGTAAGAGGTAGGATGTTCGGATTATGTATATTGAATATGGGAATGATAATGAGGTTGATAATGAATAATGATAAATAATGATATTGATGAATATAATGCTTATTATAATTATATGGTGATTGAAAAACAAATAATGATATATTAATAATTATATATATGTTTTTTATGTTTGTATAATATGGTTTATTTATAATTGAAATGATATTAGGAAAATTTAATGTTTGATAATTTATATTATTAATATAAAAATTAATTGAAATATTAATTATGATATATAAATTATAGATAATTGTATATTGTGTTTATTATATTATATTATAATATAATATATATTTATTGTTTGTTGTTTTTTTGATTATATATTTAATTGAATTTATATTTTTATAAATAAATAATGATATACTGATATAATTTATATGGCAAAAATATACGAAGGAATTTTAAGTAGATTATATATTTGATTTTGGTAAAATTGAGAATGTTTTATTTGAATATGCTAGATTAGGGGGACCTTTATATTTGCAGAATATTTTGTTGGTTAGAATTTTTATACGAAAATATGTTTTTGTAATATTAACAGAATATTTGGCTATATTAAGGATTTTTATATTAATAGAATATTTGCTTAATAGAAATATTTTGTTAGTCTTTATGTTAGTAGAATATCTTGCTGAATCGCGAGTCGTTGTGTAAGCTAGCTTGCTAGATCGAGGGCCTTTATGCTGGTAGGGTACTTGGATGCATCAGGGGGATTTATACCAGCAGAGCATGTTAGCAGAGTATTTTGAAAGATCGGATTGCTTTTATGCTGGTAGATTTTGCCATTAAGGAAACCGGTTGGATGGTTGCTTAGAACAAACCCACGGCCTTGGCTTTTCTCCGCCCCGGGCGTTGGCTTTTGATCGCGGACTCTGAGAATCATAGAGTGCTCTCTGTGAACTTGTGACCGACGGCAGAGTGCCATAGAACGTGTTTTTCGACACCTCCGATTGGTGATAATGTGTGCGTTTATGGTTATTATGTTTGCTGAAGTGATTCGTTGCTCCATGTTCAATTGTGAGGGTTGTTTTGTATCCCCTCGTTTTATCGTCTTCAACGCAGTCTCCCATCCGGCGGCTTGGATCGGCTCCTGCCCATGGCAAGTCGCTGTCCTAGTTGCCGAAGGATCTAGTGGTAAAGTGTCGATACCTTGGAGGTGAAAGGCGGAGGGTGGAACAATCCCCCCCCTAACATTTGTTGCAGGCAAAAGCAACCACAGCAAAGCCCTTAAGTTCTTTGCAGGAAAAGGTTCCCCATCAGCCGCTCTACAAAAATGAGCCAGGGAGGGACAGCTTTCGGCCATTTTAATCGCTGATATTGGCTCTTCGATTGCTTTAACACTACTATATGTCGGGGGCCGTTATGCCAGCAGAGTAGTTTGCCAGATTGAGGGGCTTTATGCTAGCAGTGTACTTTGCCGGATCGGAGGCTTTATGCTAGCAGAGAACTTTGCCAGATCGAGGGGCTTTATGCTAGCAGAGGACTTTGCAGATCGGGGGCCTTTCTGCCAGCAGAGTACTTTGCCAGATCGGGGGCCTTTACGCTAGCAGACTTCTTTGCCAGATTGGGGGCCTTTATGCTAGCAGAGTACTTTGCTAGACGGGTATTAGACGGGTATTTATGCTAGCAGAGTACTTTGCCAGATAGGGGGCTTTTTTGCTAGCAGACTTCTTTGCCAGATCGGGAGCTTTTATGCTAGCAGAGTACTTTGCCAGATCGGGGGCCTTTATGCTAGCAAAGTACTTTCCCAGATCGGCGACCTTTCCGCTAGCAGAGTATTTTGCCAGATCGGGGGCCTTTATGCTAGCAGAGTACTTTGCCAGATTGAGGGGCTTTATGCTAGCAGAGTACTTTGCCGGATCGGAGGCTTTATGCTAGCAGAGAACTTTGCCAGATCGAGGGGCGAAATACTAGCAGAGGACTTTGCCAGATCGGGGGCCTTTCTGCCAGCAGAGTACTTTGCCAGATCGGGGGGCCTTTACGCTAGCAGACTTCTTTGCCAGATTGGGGGCCTTTATGCTAGCAGAGTACTTTGCTAGACGGGTATTAGACGGGTATTTATGCTAGCAGAGTACTTTGCCAGATAGGGGGCCTTTTTGCTAGCAGACTTCTTTGCCAGATCGGGAGCTTTTATGTTAGCAGAGTACTTTGCCAGATCGGGGGCCTTTATGCCGGGGGCCTTTATGCTAGCAGAGTACTTTGCTAGATCGGACCTATGATTGCAGAGAACTTTGCCAGATCGGGGGCCGTTATGCTAGCAGAATACTTTGCCAGATTGACGGGCTTTATGCGCTAGCAGAGTACTTTGCCAGCACTGTACTTTTCCTGATCGGGGGGCCTTTATGCTAGCGGAGTGCTTTGCCAAATCGGGGGCCTTTATGCTAGCAGAGTATTTTGCCAGATC